ATATTATGATACTACCAAATCTAAAAAAACATTAAGCAGTTATCGTAATTTCAATGACTCTAATAAGCAATTATTTCTTGAGAAACTCTCAAATGTCGACTGGACCCCTTGTTATAAAAGTCAAGATGTAAACATAGCATTTAATATCTTCATTAACTTGTTAATGGAACAATATGATTCTTCATTTCCACTCAAATCCAAATTTATCAAGGTTAATCATGATCCTAATAGACCCTGGTTGACTTCTGGCATCTTAACTTCTGCCAAAACTAAAAATAAGCTATATACCAAATATTTGAAAAATCCCTGTTGCAAAACAGGAAAAGCTTACAAGTCCTTCAACCATAAACTTAAGCACATAATTAAATACTCAAAACGTACACATTATCAAAATAAGTTTGCCGAAGTAAGTGGTAACATAAAAAAGTCTTGGTCTATCATTAATGAACTACTTGGAAAAAACAAAAAAGCTGCATTGCCATCTAAATTCACTATAAATGGAAAGGAAACAACAGATCATGAAATCATTTCCAATGGATTTAATAATTTTTTTACCAATATTGGTAAAAATCTAGCCAAGGAGATTCCAAAATCCAAAAAATGCTTTAATGAATACCTAGCAAGAGCTCAAAAAGTTCAATCATCTATTTATCTCAAAAAGACCTCAAAAACTGAGCTTGAATTAGAAATGTGTCTTCTAAAATCTTCCTCGCCTGGACCTGATGGGATTCTACCATCACTTATTAAGTCTGCAAGACAGTTTTTAATTGATCCACTCTTGTATATATTTAACTTATCTTTTAAATCTGGTATTTTCCCAGACACCCTCAAATTGGCCAAAGTAACACCTGTATTTAAAAAAGGTGTCACTACAAATCCTTCGAACTATAGACCAATTTCAGTTTTATCTGTATTTTCTAAATTGTTAGAAAAGCTCATGCACGCCAAACTCACTGGTTTTTTAGAACGTTTTGAAATTATTTTTACTTATCAATTTGGATTTCAGAAATTCAACTCTACCTACATGGCCATTTTATATTTCATTGAACAAATTCGAAAATCAACTGATTTGGGGAAAACGAGCATTGGCATAACATTAGATTTTTCCAAGGCCTTTGACACAATTAATCATGACATTTTGATACAAAAACTTGAATATTATGGCATCAGAGGAATAGCTAAGTCCTGGTTTGAAAGTTATTTGAAAGACCGCAAACAATATGTCACCATTAACAATTATGAATCTAAACAATCATCTCTAAATTGTGGTGTTCCACAGGGCTCGGTACTTGGACCACTATTATTTATTCTTTACATAAATGATCTGCCTTTTGTTGCCCCTAATCTAAAATTTATTATGTTTGCTGATGACACCAATCTTCTTGATAGTGATTATGATTTAAATGAACTCATGACTAGAACTAATGCAAACTTGAATTCAATAGATGACTGGATAAAAGCAAACAAACTTTCACTTAATATTGGCAAAACCAATGCTATTCTATTTGGACCCCAAAAAAATCAAACAAATCTGAATCTTAAAATACGCAATGAGAACATAAATTTCCGGGAAAAAATTGACTTTCTTGGAATTATTATTGATAAAAACTTGAAATTTAAAGAACACATAAAATCTGTTGAAACAAAGATTTCTCACGTCATTGGTTCTCTTTATCACATTAAACATCTACTTCAAATAGACAGTTTCAAAACAATTTACTACTCATTGATACACTCTCAATTAAATTATTGCAACATAATCTGGGGTAACACATTTAAATCATTTTATGATCGTCTACATAAACTGCAGAAACAATTCTTAAGGCTAGCTTTAAATAAGGATAGACTTTCTCACTCCGCTCCCCTATTTAAAGATCTTAGAATATTAAATATTTTTAATGTCAACAGATATTGTACTGGTCAGTTCATGTACAAAATCTTTAATAAGCACCCCAGTCTTCCAAAAAATCTATTTCAAGACTTGTTTGATATCAACATTAATATTCATCATCATTACACAAGACAATTGCATCATTTTCATATCCCTAAATGCTCTAAACTTTCCCTTCGCTATCTGGGTCCTAATCTTTGGAATGCTCTACCACATGATATTAAAAAATGCTCCACTCTAAATATTTTCAAATCTTCATATAAAAAACTACTCATCTATCGATAATGTATAATACCAATATCATACTATACTGTTGATTTTATACTGGTACCCGATTTTTGTAACATTTTTACATTGTACATCCTTAGATTAATTGTTAATACCATTTTTATATACCTACATGTAACATAATATAAGTGTTTTCTTTTATCATGTTTATATGTAGTCTAGTTGTCATTTTAATGATTTCTGTTAAACCGCAACATATACCCACTAGGGTGTCTAGCGGCTTGTTTTTATAGTGTATATTATATAAGAATTATGAAATAAATAATTGAATTGAATTGAATTATCTGCAGATCAATGTAAGAGTAGATGGTAAATGATATATCATAAATATACAGATTCATGAATATTTGCTTGTTTGGATTTGCCACTTTGTGGAGTTGCCCTTTTGATGTTCTTATACATTTCTTAAATAATAGATTAAGAAATTTCTTTTTCACCACCAAAATAGTTTGTTAATGCTTAATTAACACAAACAACTATGTCAGATTGTATTGTTGCTATATTCTTCAAATAAATAGCACCATTTTTCATTATTCAACATATCACATATATAAATATTATTAATTATACATGTAGTTGTTATTGTTTTCACTATAGCTGTCTTAGACAGGCCTTAGCAAGCTGCAATTATTGACACTTGAGTTGACATAATTATTCAGGACCCTCTTTAATAATGTGACACCAGTACCATTAACTGACACCATTAACTGACACTAAAAAAATAAGTATAACTCCATGTACATGTGTTATCCTACACTAGTTCTTTGCTAGTAACATTTAGAACATATTTACACTTGTGAACCAAAAACAATCATTATATTTACACAAGTTTATGATCAGGACTCCTGTCCAGGTCAGGGCTTCACTTTGTATAAAGTTTTTCATCAAAGTGGTTCAAAAGCAAGATGATTCTTCAAAGGTACATGTACATGTATATTCCTTTGTAAATAACATTAAAATATGGGAGATGGAATATATATATGTTTTTGAACATTTCAATAATAAAATTAGTTAATAAGCATATATAGAATGTACTCGACAGTGAAAACATTCACTTGGATTTTTTATGGACTACAGGGACGGCTAATGCTAATGGATGTTAACCCTTTGTACTGCTTATTTGTATGTTACATCTTTTATGAGCACTAGTATCACCAACTATTTATGTTGTTATGAGTATAGGCTACCAATTTTTTTTTTCAATTTTTTCTTCAACATATATAATAATGGCTTTGGTATGAATGAATAGTCCCTTGGTGTTCTGGTTCTGGTCCTGAATTGTGATATTGGCTCTCGGTTGACTACAACTTTAAGCCTTGCCTGATCCTTGTTTAGTTTCACTGTTGGCTTTAGGCATAAGCCAGAGCACAATACTTGCAAGGCATAGGAGTGATAAGATTATTAAATAGATATATAACAAGAATCTGTCTACCACTCTGGCAACAAACTTCCAATCATGGTTCACAGGCTTGTTCACTCCTTCTTGCATGCTTCCGATATGCTTTTGATCAAAATCTTCTATCCTGTATTTCACATCAACATCATTGTCTCGGCTCCCATTCACACCAACCTCCAATTGGTTATGAATTGGTATACTTTCACATGGATTATATTGTGTTTGTTTGGGATTCTGTTTCGCATCAGTACTCTTAGGCAGTGTATTTGAGACACACAACACTCTGGCCATAAATGCTGTGAAGGCTTGGAGGCATGGTGAGGGCCAGGAATAAGAGGCCTTGTCATCCATAGAGACCACTAATATAGAGCACAGCAGAGAAGAGGCGGTCAGAACCATCGCAATAAACAGATACCCACCTGAAATAGAGTCACCATGCTTTTATTACAAATTATGTTAAAACTAGAAAATACTGAAATTTTGAATGTATTATTGGATTTAAAGCCAGTCAGTTCGGTTCATCCTTAGTCTAGTTCACTTATATTAATAGCATTTGTACTTTCTTCTGAAAAATTCTATCCCCTTTTGATGCTGTATAATATGAGGTTATATAATGGTTCTTTCTGTATATCGTGTTTATACTCGAGTGAGTATATAATATATTCACAAGTGAGCGTAGCGAACGAGTGAATATATTATATTCTCACAAGAGTATAAAATGCACGATATACAGAATGAACCATTATATAATCTTATTATGCCACTCTAATTTCAAGTACAGTTGATTCGAACACAATCATAAAAAATAAAAATCATAAAAATATCTCATAGTCAACTCAATAATGCTGATGTTGATCTCGAACCATTTATGACGTGGCTTGATTCTAGCAAATCATGCCGGAACCATTTATGACGTCACTTGATTCTAGGAAATCATGAAAATTTTCATGATTTTTTTTATTCATTAGTTCCCAGAATGCACTTCTACAGTGGTATACGCTGGAGTGTATACGGAGGAGTTGTATACGATGACGATATACCACTCTCCACTGTATATCGTTGTTATAGACCCATGTTATACAACTGTAATTGGACTTAGAGTGGTATAATATGCAAATATTTTGTTACGACATTCACTTAAACAAATTAAATAATTAAATAAATTAAATGTTTGTACTGACATACCCAGTAGTGGCATTTTGTCAAATCTTGGAGGCATCATTTCAACCACTATGAGTAGGAACACAACATATGACAATAACACAGTAATTCCAAGTGATATCTTCTCCCCACAACCAGATGGTAAACAGAATACTGACACACTCAGTAGTGTAATCAGAAAACACGGGCAGATCACATTCACCATGTAATACAATGGCATTCGTCTGAACCTCAAGTAAGACTCCAATGCAGTGAAGTTACTTAGTTGATGGGTGTTACTTGAATATGTGTAGTCCGTTGGAGTAACTGTAACCCACGAGTCTTCAATGATCCATTCTCCATGATGATCTAAGATATCTGTAACATTGATTTTCAATTATCACATTAAAACAAAAAGTAATAGGAAACCTTAAGGCCTTTATGGTTATGAGGGATATTTTGAAAAAAGAGTAACTACGTAAAAGAGTATTTGAAAACTAAGCGACTTCAAAAATAGTGAAAACCACTATATATTAAAGATAAGCAACTCAGTCTCAAATGATGGTGGATTGACAAAATCTTGTCTCAAAATTCATAGGATATCTTTTATAAAACATACCTCCCAGTTGGACTGTTTTAGGCCATGGATCAGTTGTCAGTTTCACATAACTTTCATTGTATGTATAAGACATCATAATCATGCGACAGGTTTGTACATCAAATGGGAAATATGTGACATCAATGGTGCAGGTTGTGACAAAGTGTTTTCCAGGACAGAAAAGAACTTCTCCACTGGGGTAGATCACGGCCCTGTTGTCTGTACTATACTGGAATGTGTTGAATGTTTGGCTAAAAAATAGGAAACAATTTTGAGCGTTTTGTCTCAAAACCTTTTCTACACATTTCTACACTAAACTGTGCTCTGAAATTTATATTGATAATCCTTCCAAATTTATTCTTAAACATTAGCATTTCGAACAGTTCAATGAGCATTGAAGATCCCTCATACATTACATGCCTTACCTATTTGCAATATAAAGGTCAGGTATCCAGACATAATGATTAGGGACATGGATTTCTCTCACGCCTCCATAATCCTCAGGATTCCATTGGAGTCTGTCATCCCTCCATATCTGAAATGTCAATAGAGTTTGACTTGCTTTATGACTTTGACCTACTTTGAATTGGATCAACCTCTTTGGCAGTGTAGGCCCTAGAGATCTGAGAGGCTGCTGGTCAAAATGGCATTATGGACTAGCTGCGATGATATTCTCCTATACCTAGTGAAAAAATCAACTGATCTGTATCAAAAGTAACCTGGTTATGACCAGTGGACCAGCCATTAGGGACAACACTGCCCTTGGGAATGAAATGTCCCTTAGTGTTACAGTCCTGGATTATAATAATGGATGTTTTAGTTTTTACTTGTTCATGCTTGGTTCTGTAGCAATTTTGGCCTATCCCTTTGCCACTTGTGTGTACATGTCTCATTTCTGTCTGTAAAATATTCCTGAATTTATTGTTGAACACAGTAAAAACTCATCAGTGGATCCATGGATCAACAAACTTGTAAATTATAGCAGATTTTTGATGGGGTTATATTTTTCTTAACTGATATGTCAAGTTCAGTTCTCAAGATTTTATAACATTGGCTGACTATATGGGGAATACACAACCTAGAAACCAAAAAATAAAATTTCAAAGATTATAAACAAATTTGGATGTATATTGTAAATATGATAATAATTATTTTGAATATCACTAAATTTTGATAATCTATAATTAGAGAAACAAATTAATCTTTTATCATCTAGGTCAGTCTTTTGAAGACTTGGCTATATGATCATCAGTTAGCACTCTCTGATTAAACTCCAGTCATAAATTATATGTGTTGGGTAATAAAGTGTCTGTTTTTAGTAGAGATAAAGTCTCCAATGGACAGCAATGGATTCATTATGTCCTGATACTTCACCCTAATGGGTTTATTCATAATTAATAGGAAGCACCTTGATTCCATTGCGGTATAATAGTAAAACAGTAATAATGTTTGCAATTTTAAAGCGGTGGATTTTAGTTATTTTCAACCAAAGAAAACATATATCTTTTTTACAGGGATGAATATTTTTACAAATGACATTTCCAATAATGAGAATTGATGGAGAAGAGAAAATGTTGGAAGTAAAACAGCATGCCAATATAATTCTTTCAATCCTAACAGGCATAGTTATCTATGATTATTGGTTATTTAGAAGAAATAATAAGGCAGTGGATTTTGATATTAAGAATCAAGTTATACTGTTTCAGATTTCTATGAATGTTTTTTGCTAAATAATGAGATTTTAGACACTTACCATATTGACCCATCCTACTGTTTTCAGTAATTGATTCTTTTCATCCTGAAGCAAAATGAAAGGGTTACTTTAAAACTAATAATGAAAGAAGCAACATACTGTGTGATTGGCGCTTAAAGTAAGTCAAAACAGTTCAAAAAGTTGTCCTTATTAGTGCCCATATGAATCCTGACTGATACCAGCAACTACTCAATTATCGCCCACTAGATTTCTTAAGTTTGACCCTAATGATTGTTGATTCTTCACCCAGGGACTCACCCACGGGCCTCCAGAAGTCTGGGGGGGGGGGCGGCGCTTATAGGGACATGGGTGCTAATTACGGCTAATACGGTAGTTCCCAAATGCTTTTAGTTTTCATCTTAGCATGCCTAGTTTCAAACATTACATGGACGTGCAGCATTCAAACATTAATTGCAGTTGTGGAAGGGGGGGGGGGGGGGGGTCTACTTACTATATCTTGTAGATTAAACAGATGTATTCTTGCTGAAATGATCAGAGGTGTTCGATTATTGCCTTGTCCTGGAAGCATTTGTGGTATATACACTCCATTATCAATGATGTCCTTATAGATCTTTTCATTCCAGTTTATGCTGGTCTCTGAAAAACATTGTTAAAAATCATTATTATATTTTTATACCTTACTAAGTACTAGTATACAAATAAGATTTCCATATATTTCTATGAATTTTGAGTAAACATATATAAAATGTACCAGAAATTTAGAAACACCGGTTATTACCTGATATTGCTTGTTATTTTATGAAATGATATGATTGTGAATCTGATTTGATCCAGTATATGACTGTAATTTTTGATTAAATGTAGTTATTAAAATTACCTGATGAATTTGCAGCACTTTCCACCAGACAAAATATTCCAAAAAGCACAATATAAGATAGTTTTCCCAATTTTAAGTTAGAACATGTCCGTGATGCATGCCTCCGCATCATGGTAATTATGCCCTTCTCAGTGGTAGCGCTTCATATGTTTTGTGTTTTGTGGCTGGTGTTATGATTGCTAGAATAGGGGCCTAGATAGATCCTCCCATTATGATAATTCCTATTGCAGCAGTGCCCAGGAGCAACTGGGTAAATCCAAGTAACAAGTTTTGATTGTGAAAGTTATATATCTCTGGTCAAATATTGAT